ATAAGTTTCTATAATCAGCACATCAGGGGAATCTGTAGTTTAACAATGCCTTGCTTTTGTAACCTAAAACTATGCTCCAGGATTAGGTAAAACACAGGTAAAAACCGTCTATAGTATGAGCCTCCCCCCAACAGGCTCTTTTTGAGACCTATTTATTAGTCGGTATATAAGCAAGAAAATATATAAAGGAAAAAAAAGTGCATTTCTAAATGATTTTAAATCTTTGTAAACCATACTTATGTTATTTGATAGAACAAAATAGAGTTTTTGAACAAAAGGTGCATTATATAAGGCCAATATATTCATAGATGAAAGCTAAAAGTTTTCTTAAGGCCAGAATTGTGGTGCAATGAGCTAAGCTTCAATCTCTAATGCCAATGTCCTACATGGGCGCCGGTTCTAGTACTGGGTGCTCCACTTCCAGTCAGCATCCTGGTAACGTGTCTGGGAAAGCAGCAGCAGAGGACCTCAGCTCCTGGGGAGACATGGACTGGGACCCCGGCTCTTGCCTTTGGCGTGGGCCAACCCCAGTTGCTGTGGTCCTTTGAGGGATGAACAAGAGGATTAAAACTCTCCCCCTTTCTCTCTCCCCCTTTCTCTCTCCCCCTGGCTTTCAAATAAATAAAATAAACCTTTAAAGTGTACATTTTTTTCTTGATCCAGAGGCAAATTCAGGGGAAATACAAAACTGCTTTCAGAGAAAAAATCGAAAATAAGACACATGAAGGTCAAAGTGCATGTGAGATATGAGAAGACAGAGGTGTGCTGAGTTTCTTAAAATCACACTTTGAATTTTCAAACATAGTTTTCTTTATAGACCTGCTTCAATATATACGGAGGAAGCCTATGTCTTCCGAATGAAAATTTCCCTGACCAAAGGAAGTCTGAGAAAAGAAAATGAGAGTTAAATTTCTCTAGACTCCAAGATGCTATACACTAACAAAATATGTGACATTAAAAATATAAGAAGATAAAGTCTCAAATCAAAGTCAGATATCATCTAAAAAAAAAAAAAATCCCTATTGTGGGCCCGGCGCAGTGGCCTAGTGTCTAAAGTCCTCACCTTGAATACACTGGGATCCTATTTGGGCGCCGGTTCTAATCCTGGCAGCTCCGCTTCCCATCCAGCTCCCTGCTTGTGGCCTGGGAAAGCAATAGATCACAACACAAAGCCTTAGAACCCTGCACTCACATGGGATACCTGGCAGAATCTCCGGGCTCCTAGCTTTGGTTTGGCTCAGCACCAGCTGTTGTGGTCACTTGTGTAAATCAACGGATGGAAGATCTTCCTCTCTGACTCTCCTCCTCTCTGTATATCTGACTTGCAATAAAAAAAAATAAATGAATCTTTTTTAAAAATCCCTAATGTGGCTCTGCTACTTACCAAATAGAAGATTAGGTTTAAAAATTAAATTATGATATCCAGGCCAGGTGCCATTCCCAAGCCAAATATTTAAATTTGGCAGACTAAGACATGATCAATTATATATTTGCTTTCCCTTATAAGCTTGCATATAAAAGCTCATTAGAGGAATCATAACCAGTAGGATTGGTTATTTTCTTAAGATCACCTTCAGCCCACTCAGTATTCATTATGTGTGAATCAGCTAAAGCTCGACGTAACTGTACGCTCAGAAAACAGAACAGAAAGCCATGAATGGACACAATTCTAAGACTAGAATTTGGATAACAACAAAATAATATCATCTCACCAACATGATTTTTCTTTTCCCATAAATGAAACAAGACTGAAATTTCATAGCCAAGCAGGAGTAAGGTAAGCCTGGTACCTCTAGAACCAACTCAGTCAACTTTGTTACGCTGTGTGCTCCAGTAAAGATACTGTGTTTCAAAATTTCACATCTCACCTAATGAAAATTCAAGTGCAGGATGTTTTACAAGAACTTCTGTGTGGCGATGCCGCATTCTTGGCTCTACTAGAAGCCAAAACTTGGCCCAGCATAGGTAGCAAAGGAAGGTAGAGGCTTTGTCAGTGTTGGAGAGTGGGCAACCCAGTCAGTACTATCCGCTAGGCTGGGATCTTGACTCTCGCAGAATAGCCAATAACTCTGTTGATTCTTACCCAAGTGGCCTTTGCATCAGCTGCCAGAAAGGCGCCGCAGGTGGCTTTCTCCTAGGTTTAAAGTCAGGTAAGGCCATGTGGGCATGCATGGCCCCTTCAGCTCTTGGGGACTGGAGCCCATGCCCACCATGCATTGGCAGCAAGAGCTACTGAACACAACCTCCAAGTCCTGCTTCAGAATCTCATAATCTTGGAAAAGTTCATTTTGATTCCTCTTCTCTTCTTTGCAGTGGCCCACAGACATCCCAAATGTTCCACCCTGAAGCCCCTTCATCTTATAGTTAGGTTGTCCACGCCCAAGATAGTGAAAACAACATGGGGTAAGTTCCCAAACACCTCTGACTGGCAACGCTAGCACAGCCCGTGCATTGCCTGCACCTCGTTGTAAATTATTCATAAAGAACAATCTAGGTGAATCCAAAATTACCCTGGGTGCCCGATGTTATTCGCTTCCTGGCTGAACCCATTACACCCACACATACTACACTGTCTGAATTTCAAATTGTATCTTAAGTTTCTTTCTTAAACGTAATAAAATTAAATGTGACAAACCACGGTTAAGATTCCATTTACAATACCTCAGTGAATACACTTTGATATTTTTAGTTGAGATTTTTGAATATTTAATAACATTTAAGATTTTAATTCTCCTTTAACTGACCCATCACCCAACAGCTGTAAGTATAAATAAACTAGGCTTGAGGTCTTCTCTCATCTACCCTTCAACAGCAATAGATGCTAATCCAGGAAGCCGATTTGTTTGTTCTGATCACCAAAAGGCCGAATGAAATTTTTAATTGACTGCAGGGGGAAATTGACTGAATCACATATTGCTTGCATCTGCCGTCAGGAACTACATAAATTTCCCCTGTGGTTTATTTCATTTGCTTTCTCCTCTCTTGTCCCTAGTGGCTTTAGATGTGTTCAGACACATTAATAGTAAAATGAACTTTCCCCTGCTACTTTTCTTACTCTAAAAGAGTTACTTGGTGGCTACTGTGTTTACATATTTCTTACATGCTGTGCTATCAAGCATTAAGAGTTCAAATTTATCTCAATATAGAAACAGGAACTCAAAGTGCCAACAAGTAACCACAGACACAAATTGAGCCCAACAGATTCAACAGTGTCACCTTTGGTCTTTCCCCAGTTGATACCCAGTGAATTAATTTCGGCTTTGGAATAGGCTACAGACTACACTGATGAGTTTCTCGTCCTTATGTAGCCATATATGATGCAATCCATAAGAATGGAACCAGCTGGGGCCTGGCGCAGTGGCCTAGTGGTTAGAGTCCTTGCCTTGAACATGCCAGAATTCTATATGGGAGCCAGTTCTAATCCCGGCAGCCCTGCTTCCCATCCAGTTCCTTGCTTGTGGCCTGGGAAAGCAGTCGAGGACAGGCCAAAGCCTTGGGGCCCTGCATCCACATGGGAGATCTGCAGGAAGTTCCTGGCTCCTGACTTTGGATTGGTGCAGCACCAGCTGTTGTGCTCACTTGGGGAGTGAATCATTGGACGGAAGATCTTCCTCTCTCTCTCGTCTTCTCTGTATATCTGACTTTACAATAAAAAGAAATAAATCTTTATATTAAAAAAAAAAGAATGGAACCAGATGCATCCATACCCACTGCTACGCTCACGTCCTTTAGGGAGAAAGTTGCATGACAGCAGCTTTCACAAATCCCAAGAAATTGTTACACTTCTGGATAATTAACTGACATTTCATTGATTCTAGAATAAGAAACCTTTCTAGCACCTAGGGTCAAGTTCTTTAAAAAAAAAAAAAAACTTATATTTTTATATTTTGAAATGTAGGTTCCAATATCCAATTGGTAAGGACCCAAATGGCCTCCAAGAGACAAGGGCTTCTTAGAACTGATGTGCATGTCTGGCCATTCCATAAAAACCCCTACTAGGGGTGAGTGCTTGTCTTGACAGATCCATGTGGTACGCCTGCATCCCACACAGGAGGGCCTTCGGGTCCTGTATGCTTCCATTTCAAGTTCCGTGCTAGTGGGCACCTGGAAGGTGGCAGGTCATGCCTCCAGTAGTTAGGTCCCAACCACGCACAGGGTAGACCTGTATTAAATTGTCAGTACAGGGTCTAGCCCAGCCGGAGCTAATGAGGGCATTTAGAGAGTAGACCTGCAAAAAAGGGCCTTTCAAATAAACGGGGGGGAAGTTACAGCTTACATCAACAGATGGAACCTGAGCACAGAGGCACTCACGCTTGAAGCTTTAGCAGGGAGATCAAGAGTTGGAGGTGCCATACTCTGTGCCCAGCATATCACTAGACACTGACACAAACTGACAAATGAGCCAAAAGTCCGAGAGGCCTTGGAGGTCGTAAAGCAGACGCCCTGTTGCAGGTAGAGCAGGAGAGGTCTGAAGAGACTAGAAGTGTACTTCAGAACCATGCAACCCACCAGCGTTAAAACCAAGACAGAAATTCAGCCGCATGAAGGCCAGTCCCAGATTTGATTCACACAGGGCTATCTCAGTGCTTGCTTCCAGGCACTCAGCATCCCTCTTGTGGCTCTGTTTGGATAGCATAAAAATCCAAAAGGCCAGGGAGAGAGGTCAGGAGAGGGGCCGTCAGTGGTTTGTTTACAAACATGATATTTCCATGAGATCTTGTCAGTTTCCCTCCAACCTTTCCGATTAGATCTGTTTGTTGTCTTTTAATGTATTTTGTTCTTCAGGAAAGCAGTTACATCCACTTTCTTGGGGGTTGCATATCTGCAGACATTATAAGCTTTCATTTGCCTCTTCATGCTGACCCAGCGTTTTTGTTCAACAAATTTGAGCATCCTGCTCCCCTCTTTGACTCAAACACAATCAGCATGCGTGCTGCTGTTAACGGCTAGCTACCCTGGAAAGCAAGGGAAAGTCAAGGAAAACCAAGAGTCTTTCATACTTTTTAATTGTTTAACTTTATTACTGTTGCACCATTTATACAATTACATATAATTTCAATGCATCCATTGTACTTTTTTTATTTTTTTTAATGTTTTTTTTTCCATTTTCCAATGAGTGGAGTGTTGGTGTCTGTGACACAAGAATGGAAGAGAAACTGGAACTGCAATGAACGCGGACTTTTTTTTTTTTTTTCATTTCCACTGACCAATAAACAGAACTACAGGTGCACCCAACCACGGACATGCATTAACTCGTCATGAGAAATCTAGGTAGGCTAAGTAGGATGAGAGAATGTTTGTTACTCCCAAAAATATCTGGAGAGGCAGAATGGAGAACTGGCATCGAGATACATGTGGACAGCTAGGTGGGCTCTGTCGGAAAGTTGGCATTCATCCACAACGTTAAAAAAATATTAAAATAAGAAAGGCTGTAAATCAAAGCGAGACACAGAAAATACTGCTTTCACAAATCCAGTGGCCCCTGGCACAGGCCCTGTGGGCAAAAATCAAACACACCACTCGCGACTCCCCTTGCAGAGGGCAAGCCCCTGGGCTCTCAAGGGGTGCCTGCCACGGCAGCTCAGGTACAAAGAAGGGACCGCACTTTCAGACACGGATCTTTCAACCCAGGACTTACTGGTAAAGTTGACTGAAGGTATAGTAGATATTTCCCCACAAAAATACTATTTGGATTCTCCCTACCCCCTCCCTCCCTCAATGGGACATCCTTATTTTTATTTTTCCCTTGGGCAATACATATCCTTACTTCCCATTTGAAACAAGTTAGTATAGGACAGAGAGAGAGAGAGAGGAGGGTGAGTGAGAGGGTGGAGAGGGAGAGACGGGGAAGGAAAGAGAGAGACAGAGACAGCAAGAGGAGATTGTTTTGTTAAGCAGAATTATCTTTCCCATAGGCTGTCCTTGTCCCTACTCCTTCACGGCTACGGTTTGATCCGAATTAGCAGCCGGGGCCTCGGCAGGCTTCGCCTCTTCTGCCGGGGTTGCAGGTGCCTGGGCCTTGGGTGTCGAACTAGGTGCTTCTGTAGCTGCTGCTGTCTCCTTGCTAGAGGGGGCAGCCTCGGTGCTGCTAGGTATTGAGTCTGAAGCTGGGGCCCCGTCACTTTTCGTTTCCTGGGTGACAGGAGCTGCGGGAGCCTCAGTCTTTTTGGGTTCCCCTTCCTCCTTGCCCGCGTCGTCCCCTGCAGGGGCCGCGGCGCCTTCGGCCGGAGCAGGTGCAGCAGCCGCCGCCGCCCCAGCCTCAGCAGCTTTCGGGGCCTCGCCGCCGGCAGCGGGGCCGGAGCTGGCCGTGGGCTCCTGCTCGGGGGCCGGGGTCGGCTCGGGCTGCTCGTCGGCGGCCCCCTCCGTCTTCTCGGGCTCGGCCTTGGGAGCCCCCTCGGCGGCTGCCGATGCCTCCTTGTCACCTTCCTTGTCTTCAGCCTTGCCCTCGGCGTCCTGGGCATCCTTGTCGGGCTTCTCCTCCTTGGTTTCGGGGGTCTCAGTGGACTCGCCTGCCGCCTGGGGCTCGTTCTCCTTGGGGGTCCCCTCCTCTTCGGTCCCCGTGCCCTCGGCCTTCTTGTCTTTGTCCTTGGCCTTTTCGTCGTTCACATTGTAGCCCTTCTTCTTCTTGCTGAGTTTGCCTCCCATCTTGGAGTCCTGCGGGCAAACACAAGACAAGAGACAAAGTGTGTTACTGCTCAGTTCTCATACTTCGTGGTTGCTGTTTGGAGTGTTGGAATAACTCACTTCAAACAACTGGTTCTTTTTGGCTTAATATTTTGTTTATTTCTCCCTCAAAGGTGGAAGTCAACATATATGAAAAATACATGGTAAAATGTTTCAATATAAGCAATCATAAAGCAATAATTGAAATATATAAAAAAGAAATTGCACCAAAATTTTAGCTTGTACTGTATGTAACTCTTTCCTTGGATTTTCCATTGAATTAGTCAGTGTGCATGACTGGCTACTACCAAACATAATTTCAGCTTTAATATTACAAGATAAATTTTGGTATATTAAGTTGAGCTAAGTAATAGAAAACTTGGCAGGTCTGCCTTTAAGAGCTTCTCTCAATTCTGTAATAGAAACCCATAAACCAACTTGGAAACTAGTGGCCATCAGACAAAATGTAAACACAGAATGGAGGAATGCCCTGTAAGTCTAACACTGGGGTGCCACCTTCTAACATCCACAGCATGAAATTCTATATGGTCATCCCCAGAGTTACAAGTCATGTTGGCTTACAAAGCTGCACTATTTGCTGAAACACAGTTAAGATCATGGTCTATTCTAGATCCATCTGGGATTCATTGCTGGGTAAGAAAGGAACACACATATGCAGGTTGTAAATAGGAAATGATGGTCTCCATCCTGGTTTGGTTCTCCCCACCCCCAACTCAACGAGAACAACCCATGCTTTTTTGCTAATTGTCCTGGGTTAGTTATCAGAGAAAGGCTGATTCTTTCCAAAGATCTTGTCCATACCCAGAAGTAGATTATAATTGTAACTTAGAATTATTTCCTCGAATTCAGAACACATTACACAAGCATCGTGTAATGCTTGTCCACAGCAGCCCATGGTAGAATACCAATACCATCCTGCCTCTTCCTGTTAGGGAAAGTGCAACCAAGCTGAATTCATGGAGCTGTACCATACAAAAATGGCTAAGTCTAACAAAATTCAGTAAGATGCAATCGTGGGAGCTAAAGAGAACTGCACTAAGGAACTGGAGGCAGAGCAAAGCTCTCAGGCTCAGTTACAGGGGCACTTGGGGGGAGATGCTGAGGGGATAAGAAGTCCAGAAGTCAGGCCCTCTCTACCCAGGACGATAAAGTGCCACAAAAGCTTCGTGTCAAGATCCGTAGGAAATAAGGGAGTTTTGTGATATCTTTCCTTTGTATTACTTTTAATTTTGAAAGATGTGGGAGTAGAAACTTGAGACCTGTCAGTTACATACATACACACACAAGGACTTAAAAAGTTTGTGGGAAAATGGATACAAGGAAAAGATAGCACATGCATTTCAAATTTTCTATCATGAAAATAAATTCATCTTTTTAACAATGTTTTATTTTATTTTTTATATTGCTTCCATGGATGAAAGAGATGCCAGCACATGTGGGCCTGATTAGGGTGGGGAAGGTCAAGTATGGATGAAATTGAGCGAGACAAATGTTTCAGTTCTCTTTTTTCTCCTGCATCCACAGAGGGGGAAGGGGAGGGACCTGCTTCTTGCTATTAGACGATATCAGAGATAGGGGAAGGTCATTCGATGATACCTTAGAGACACCGATGTAGGGAAGAATGTTCTGTGGGTGTTATTGGGTGGTCTTGACAGTTCTGAGACACTGTCAGCTTCATCATAGCAGGATTGTGAAAATCTTTCCATTGGTTGACCAAGTCTACATTAATGCATCCACAGACTCGAACATTTATTGCAAAGCTTGGCCAGACGAGTTGTGCAACCTGTTCTGCTTTCCACCCTCAATGAAACACTTTACATCCTTTGCTGGCATAGATGAGTTAATCATCATGTCCCCCATGAGCATCTGAGTATGCTGTCCACCTCACAGGCATCAGCAACTAAGGAGGCCCAGTCCCAATACACACTCCAAGGTCAGACCATATACTTTGTGGTTTTCCCTAAGGCTGGGGTTTGAGTCCAGCAATTTAATTGGGGAGTCTCCCAAGAAACATCACCTGGGATCATGTCAGACTTGACTCATGTGCATATCAGCTAGAGCAAGGTCAGGATCAGTCATCTGCACCAGCCAATACACAAACTGGTGCATGAAGTTTCCTGGTCAGTCTCACCCCATCTCCGATGGAAACTGACTGGTGCTGCAGCCTAGACCAGACCAGCCCACATTCCATCTGGCTCTCATGCACTCCCGTGGGTGCTGCAACTTAGCTCAGTCTAACACACTCAAAGACCAAGCCCACATATAAGCTGGCAGGTGCTGCTGTCCAGTCCAGCCCGACCCACAAGCAGCTTTGGCTAGCATGCCCACCAGCAGGAACTACAGCCTAGTAGGGGAGTGCTCACAGCTCCCTACTAGACCCACTCCCAGTCCCAGATCTTGCATTTGCCAGGGAGTTCTGAGGTCCAGTCTGACACACACACAGTCTCAGCACTTGCCAGCCAGGGCTGTGGCCTATACCAGCCAGCCTATGCCCATTCTGGTTCTCAATGTACCAGTGAGTACAGCAGCCTAGCCCAGCCTGGTTCATCCCCAGAATATTGCAGCCCTGTCCAGACCAACCTGTACACAGTCCCAGCTCTCACGCTTATTAGTGGGAGGGGCAGCCCAAGAGGGGAGTTCCCCAAGTTCCTCTACCAGGACCATTGCCAGCCCTGGTCTTGCACCTAGCAGTGAGTGCTCTAGACCAGTCTGTCATAGACAACCCCCAGTCACAACATTCAGTGGGAGGTGATATGACCTGGCTTAGAACAGTTCTCAATGGCAGGTGCAGTAGCCAAGCTGGGCCTGGCCCACCCCCAGCTCCAGTCCTCATGTGAACTGGCAGGTGTTGTAGCTCAAACCCAGCCTGTCCTCACCATAACCTGGCTCTCACACATGCCAGCCTGTGCTGCAGACTGGTCCAGCCTGGCCCTCTTCCAAACCCAATACACACACACATATATGATGAGTGCTGTGACCCAGCCTGGCCTGCCCCCACCCCTGGCTCTCATGCTTCACAGCAGCAGTTGCAGCCTGTCAGGGGAGTTCCCCTAGTTCACCTACCAGATTCATACCCAGCCCCAGATCCCACACATGCCAGCAGGTGCTGCAGCTCTGCTTGGTATGGTCTGCCCTCAGTCCCAGCCTTTGTATGCCCTGGAAGGTGTTACAGCCCAGCCCAGGTTGGCTTCCTCCCAGCCCCAGCCCCCACAAGTGTCAGTGAGTTCTGTGGTCCAGCCTGGCTTGGCCAGTCACTACCTCCAGGTGTCGCACAAACTGGCAGGTGCTGCAGTCCCTATGCTACTCAGCCTGGTCCAGGTCACCCACATGGGCAAATGCCTTGGCCTGACCCAGCCATTCCCTCCAGTTTTGCCACTCTAAACTACCCTCTGTCAGCTCCCTCACCTACTATCAAGTACAGTGATCTAGTTCACAGAAACCTCCAAAAGTCACTCCTTACCTGTCTAAAATGTCCTCAGCAGCCCCCACTCCATCACATCTCCAGAGTCCCTTCCCAAAAAATCCCAAGTCCTTTCCCAACTACACTATTGCACGGTGTGTCTGGGGCATCCTGCACCTTCCCCACATATCTTATTTTTTAAAAAGGGAGCAACTATGCTGGCACACTGGTATAGTTAACACAGATTTGACATTAACTAGGTCCAGAAAGCCCACCAGCTGTTGGCTGTTTTTCTCCCAGAAGTATACCATGAGCCTAGGTGCATGGCAACCGAGGCAACCGCCTACAGCTTGGGAAAGTACGTTCAACATAATTCCATTTTCCTACAAACTTTCAGAGGTACCTTTGTACATGTGCATATGTATTCATGCATGTGACATTACAACCAGAGTTGATCTCCCAGTCATGACCTCCACATGGGTAAGCAAACTGGGGAGTTACATGCTACAGGATGAAGATGACCTGGTCCCTGCTCCCAAAGAGAATTTTAAACCTGTCATAAGTTAAGAGGTACTCAGATGGTAGCAACTTAATCCAACGTTGTTGTTTGGAGGTAGGGAGGGACCTACTGGCAGGTGCTAAGGACACTGGGTATGTGCCTTCGGAGGACGGGTCTTATAAGAGTCTTACAAAAGCTCAAGTTGGTCCCAGCCATTTTCTCTGCTTCTTGCCTCACCACATGGTCTTCCGCACGCATTTCAACACTCCAGTCATCAACTTCACAGAGGGAAACCAAAGTTGAGTTTGATCTTGAGATTGAAACTCCAAAAACTGTGAGATAAATACATCTTTTCTGTTTATGAAATTACCTGCCTTACATAATTCATTTTTTAAAAAATGTGACTGATGCAGAATACTTCAAAACTGCAAGAAAATTCTACGTGACAAGAGCCAGAATGTTATAGGTATCTTGCAGCTGACACAGAAAGATAATTAACAATCAACAGCAACAAACAGATAAATATTACTGATTTTGACCTGGTAAGTGTTCACAAAACACTAGTTCAAACAGACTGAACTCTGGGTCATAGCTGACTCATAACATGTTAATATGAATTCCAGCTTTACTCCACACACACCCCGAAGCCCTAGATGAGTTATTTAATTTTCAAGAATCTGAGCCGTTATCTGCTACCTCTCGGACACATCAGCAGAAATCTGGAGCAGGAGCAGTGGGATTTGATCACAGACACCCTTGGATGGGATTCTGAGCAGGTCAAAACTGAGGAATAACCTTATATGCCATGACACCTGTCCTTGTCTATGTGCCATTAATCCTACTGGGCTATAAAACTTTGAATAAAATGTATTTAAACCCTCACTGAAGAGAGAAGGTGCCATTCTAACACTATGTGTTGAAGAAAACAATCTTGAATGGAAAGTGGGAATGTGAAAATTTGGAGGGAGGCTCTGACACGGCTACTGCTCACATCCGCCCAACTCTTGGTTGCCTGTGTCCATCACGGGCTCAGAATTTGCATCCATATGATACCTATCATGCCAAGAGTGC